TATGAGAGCCCAGGGTCTACATCATACTGTTAAGACCCTAAAAATAAAACTTGATATGGTAGAAAGAAGCGCAAGAAGAGGTCAAGAAGAAAAGAAGCAAGCCCTGCAGCACGCTCAAAGACTAAGAGAGCAAAGAGATGAGGCTAACCAAGAATTGACACAGAGGCGGGCACAGATTGAACGGCTCGAAGCACAAATACTTAGTATGGAAAAGACTTTTCAGAACCCATACAACAGCGATGTATTCCGTCTTCAAAAAGAAAATGTGATGTTAAAGAAAAGGATGACAGAGTTAGAAGAAGCAAGGTTGATCCACTCATCCGCACAAGATATAGCCAGATAGGAGAATGAGGCCTTAAAAGCTAAGATCGTTGAGCTAGAAGTTGCAGTACAAAAAGGCCATCAGTGAATCCAACAATTAGAAGAAAGCCGACCATTGACTAATTCAGAGCTTGGAATCGCGCTACGGCAGGCTCACGACACCATTTAGAATCAACATGAAGCAATGGGGAGAGCAGTGAATCAAGCCCGCAGTGTTGCTCGTCAAGTCTACGAGATATCTGAAGAAGCGACAGCCCTCAGAGTTTTTGTTATCCCAAATTCAGAGGAAGAGCGACGCATCCTGGGATTGATAATAGAGCTCGAGAGATTAGGCGATAGGGCAAGATTCTACGTTTAATTTCAATGAGGATGTATTCTCTTTGCCTAAAGTGCTTAGATTTTGTGTGTTGTTGAGTACATTTTGTATGAACTAAGTTATTTCGGAATCAATATCGGGTTGCATTTGCATTTGCATTTTCTTACGTTTTTCTAAATGTTTGAAATCTTGATAATCGCATTATAACAATTCATTCATTAAATTCATCGAATAATAAAACATAATTTCCAATTATTTGTAGTTATCCTGGTATTCACCTCACACCCATACGGTACCCGTAAAACTAAGAAAATGGAGGCGAAATTAGCTCAAATTGAACAAGAACACAAACAAGCTCAAGCAGAGATGAGAGAAAGATTAAGCAAAATGGAAGCAGAGATGGAAAGCTCACAAGACGGTTTGCTACAAAAGATCGAAGAAATGTTTAAGAAGCACATTACAAGTGGAAAAGCTATTGTTGACCCAAAATCATCTGATCAGGATCTCTTGCATCCTCCAGGGTTTGAACCTATGGCATCGCATCCTGTCGGGTTTACATATGGCCCCCAGTACCCATCAGGGTTTACACCCGACCCTTCGCATCCTCCCGGTTTCACCCGAGTGCACATTTTAGTTAGATCGCCAGCTGTGCAAGAGGCTCACCCAGGAGTCTATATAGCGAATCAGCAAAATCATAATGAGCCCGCATTTCAAACCGATTACCCATCGGCTACTAGGGCAAGACCCATTGAATCAGGCGTAGAAGAGTTACCACCTGATTTTCAGGAAGTCTCAGAAAAAGGAAGGGTTAACAATGATATAACCCAGCAGTTGAAAAGCCTGGAGGAAAGAATGAGATCAGTAGAAGTTGAGCCATTCTATGGAATGGATGCTAGAGAGCTAAGTTTGGTGCCTGACCTGATTTTACCCCCGAAGTTCAAAGCACCAGACTTTGAAAAGTATGATGGAACTACTTGCCCATCAGCTCACCTCGTCATGTTCTGCAGAAGAATGGCAAGGTATACTGAAAATGAGAAACTACTGATACATTGTTTCCAGGACAGCCTAACAGGATCAGCAATTAAATGGTACAATCAATTGACTAGATCCCAGATCAAGTCATGGAGAGACTTGGCTCGAGCATTTTATGAACAGTATCGTCATGTCACCGAACTAGTGCCTGACAGATGGACATTGCAGAACATGGAAAAGCGACATAATGAAAGTTTCAGGCAGTACGCCCAAAGGTGGCGTGATGTTGCCTCACAAGTACAGCCACCGTTGCTGGAAAAGGAGGCTACGGTTATCTTTGTACATACTCTGAAGGCTCCATATTTGGGGCATATGTTGGGAAATGCTACGAAGAATTTTGCTGACTTGGTTCTTTCTGGAGAATTAATCGAAAATGCCATTAAAAGTGGCAAGATTGAAGGAGGTGATGGGTCGAAGAAGCCCTATTTCAAGAAAAAAGACAATGAAGTGAGCCAGACGAGTACTTATAAAAAGAACTACGCAGCCAGCGTCACAATTTCGCAGCCTAAGACGGAGAATACCAACACCCATGAAAATAGAGGGCAGAGAAGGGAGAATACAAGACCGACTTTCTCACCAGTGCCAGTACCATATTCAGAAATCTACGCCTCTCTCTTGAAGGCAGATTGAATACGCGCTTACAAATTGACTCCGATGCAGCCACCTTACCCTCACTGGTATAATGCCAATGCTCACTGTGAATACCACACAGGGATTACTGGGCATGATATCGAGAACTGCCCACAATTTAAGAAGGTTGTACAAAACCTTATCAACGCTGGAGATTTGGAATTCAAAACACCAGCTGTAAATACTCACCCTATGCCCAATCATGGGGGGCAAGGAATCAACATGGTTGAAGAATGAGAGATCAGGACGACCAAGAGAAAGGTGTCAGAAGTCAAATCTCCCCTCTGTTGGGTGTTCAGGCAGCTGTGTACATCGGGAATGATTAAGGGAAGTCCCGAATCAAGGTCATTGGAACAAGAAACATACTGTGAACATCACCAAACTAAGGACCATGATATCCAGAATTGTCCTGAATTTCGAGAATTGCTTCAGAAAATTATGGATAGTGGAGAAGTGGAATTTTTCAGTAAGAAAGAGAAACCACGAGAAATAGATATCTATATGATGGATGGCTCGGGCAGAATGACGGGGACGAGAAAACTGATAGTCATCACAGTTAATCCTGGACAAGAGAGATCATCGTCAACAACTCCAAGGGTGGTGATTACAACTCCATCCCCCTTCCCATTCAAGGATACCCGACAGGTTCCTTGGAGTTATATAGCCAATGTATCAATACCAGAGGGGTCCAAGATATCTGAAAGAACAAACGAGGAAAATAAATCAAGCTCAGAAGAAGTAGGTGAGGTGAGACATTTCACACGAAGCGGAAGATGCTACTCACCAGAAATGTCCCTCGAGATAGACAAAGGAAAAGCTAAAGCCAAAGCCGTCGTAATGCCAAAAATTTTCAATGAAGAACCTCCACCGATCATTAACGAGCCTATGATTGAAGCTCAAGGTCATGAGTTTTTGAGGTTTCTTAAGCACAGTGAATACAATATAGTGGAGTAGCTTTACAAACAGCAGGCAAAAATCTCAATCTTGGATCTTTTGATCAATTCCGAAGTACATCGGAACACCTTGCTAAAAGTGCTCAACCAAACGTTTGTTCCTGAGGATATATCGACGAATAAATTGGATCGAATTGTGGGTCACATAGCTGCTGAAAACTATATTACTTTCACTGATGATGAGATCCCGGAAGGAGGGATGGGATCCATTAAGGCTTTAAACATCACTGTGCACTGCCACAGTCATGTCCTGCCAGGGGTTCTTATAGATAATGGGTCGGCACTGAATGTAATGCCCTTAGCTACACTGCAAAAGATGCCCATTGATAGCTCACTTATGAGAGCGTATCATAACATCGTCAGGGCATTCGATGGAACCCAGAAGGACGTGATGGGAAAGCTGGAAATACCCTTAATGATTGGGCCTGCTATTTACAATGTTGATTTTGTGATAATGGATATCCACCCGACATACAACTGTTTGTTAGGGAGACCTTGGATCCATGCGGCAGGGGCAGTTCATTCATCCCTGCATCAAAAGCTGAAGTTCGTAATTGATGGAAGATTGGTCAGCATTGGGGCTGAACAAGAAATCATAGCTTCTGTAACGTCTGAGACCCCGTATATCGACATAAATGAGGACGCCTTGGAGTGCTCATTCAGGGCTTTGGAATTCATCAATGCAGCCTATGTGGCTGAAGGTAGTAGAATTCCATGACCCGCACTGTCGAATTGTACTAAGATGACAGTGAGACAAACCCTAGGAAGAGGAGCAAGGATCGGTAAAGGACTGGGAAAAGAGCTGCAGGGGCAGGTACGACCCATAACTGTTGAGTTGAAGAAGGACCGTTTCGGGCTCGGATTTAAGCCCACTGATACGAGTCAGTCCGTCGATTGAGGACCTCTTCGATTGTACCGGATCTAGAACGAAGTAAGCAATTCCTCGGCAGCAAACTCACTTGATAGTAAGGATGATGTTGGGGTTATATGGATATGAACGAAATTTGAATAAGGAATGATAATTGATAGATGAGGTAATGGAATTTAGGATGCTGGAAATTGGATAATAACAAAGAACAAGGAAGAACCTATACTAAAGAGTATAAACCCGAACCTTATACGTCCAATGTTCAAGGACTTGGACCCTTTAGATAGTAATCTAAGAACCCTAAGTATCACAAACTTAACACAACAAGAACAATCTTGAAATGTCAAGAAAATAGTTCTAAGAAGAACCAATTTGAGAGAATAACTCACAAAGTTTTAATTTATCAAAGTTCCTTCCAAAATGAAATTACAAGCTTATTTAATCTGTTTCAAATGCTTAGCCGAATAACACATAGTGTTTTTGGCCAGCTATTACGTCTAACAAATAATACATTCCAGTTCATAATTCTCCATGAATTCAAGTGATGATTCGGTGTAAAATGGAGACAACTCTTCATGGCCAGGTAATACTCACGTTCCTTCAAATTGATGCTTAAGTGGAAGCATCATCCAGCTTAGTGCCAAGCACATGGGCTGTTTTCAAAGTATATGTCTCCTTGGATGATCAGCACGTATGATCCTTCAAATAATTGCTTAGTTGGTTCACGCACATGGTTGGGTAGTGGAAAGGAGCATACGCACATGGACTGTTTTGATGGATAATATTCTGGTGCAAATAAATGCTGGAAACATGTGCAACATTATGGGTTCCCTCCAACATACGTGAGTGATAATATAGTCAGCAAAGTATGGGTCTGATTTCAGCTGGTTTCTTTGTCTCCTCCAATCATGGACTTATTTATGTCTTTATAATGCTTATCCAGGCTGTTTTGACGTGCCTACATGTGCAAAGAAGATAATAAGCAAGTATTTAAATTAAATGTGCTGGAATGATTAATTTAGTTGTAAATCCCGTATTTATTTCCAGCCTGTACTGTCTTCGGTAATCTGTGAATATCTCAAGCTTCCAGTATCGGATTGACACGATTCAAAATGCATTGGAAAGCTAAGAGATAGGGGATTAAATGCTAAGAGACTTAATCTCCCAATTATGCTTGTAACATGTTCAAAACTGGTGATAAATATAAGTGACGTGAACTGTCCACTGGAATGAATCAAATATCTTGCTGCTGTGCATGTATGTGTTATTATGAGCTAACATGCATGATATAATAACTAAAAATAATTAAATATTAAAACTAAAATGAGTGCACATGAATGATAATAAAAGAAACATGCTGAAAAGTGATTGTGGGTGCACGTGAAAGCAACTAAACTTGCTGTTATGTAATCAAATGATGAACATGTTATTATGAATGTGGGTGCACGTGAAACATGCTAAACAAATGGTAAATATGTTGTTTATGCAAATCAAATGATGAAACACGTGAATTAACTAACCATGATGTTATGCATAACAAATGATGATCATGCTATTATGTGAATGTAAAAAAAAAAATGCACATGAAATGATAAATGTATATGCTAACATGAAATGTAAATAAAATGCATATGTTTCCCTAGCATAACTAAGGTGGTGTTACACATCAGTATGTAACACATTAAGAATCTTCATTTCTAAGGCATGACAATTATGAATTGATTTATTAATTTGCAAACACTTAAGAGAAAGAACTTCCCTGAATTGTTTTGCCTTAGAACGTGTGATAGGTCCTATGGGTAAGACCTTCGGATCAGTTTCCTTTGTTGGCATAGACGTGCTCACATCATCCTCCCCTTCTTGAAAAAGATTTGTCCTCAAATCTGCAGAAACATCATAAGGGGATAAATCAGAAACGTTAAATGTAGCACTTACATTGAATTCACCCGGTAAGTCCAACTTGTAAGCGTTTTCATTCACTTTCTCCAATACTTGAAAAGGACCATCGCCTCGGGGTAACAACTTGGAACGTCGTTGGGCTGGAAAACGTTCTTTCGAAAATGAACCCAAACCCAATCTCCTACATCAAAGGTTACTCGCTTACGACCCTTATTCGCTTGCTTCTCGTACTGTTGAGTCCTCCGCTCTAGGTTGTCCTTAACCTGTTGATGCAACTTTTTAACATAGTCTGCTTTAGATTTTCCGTCTCTGTTCATAACCTGTTCTTGAGGTAATGGCAATAAATCCATGGGAGTTAAAGGGTTAAAGCCATAAACAATCTCAAATGGTGAAAACTTAGTAGCAGAATGAACTGAATGGTTATAGGCAAACTCAACATGTGGTAAACATTCTTCCCATGTCTTAATGTTCTTCTTAATGAGGGAACGTAACAAAGTAGATAAAACTCGATTGACAACCTCAGTTTGTCCATCAGTTTGAGGATGACAAGTAGTGGAAAACATCAGTTTCGTTCCCAATTTGTTCCAAAGAGTCCTCCAGAAATGACTCAAGAACTTAACATCCCTGTCAGAAACAATAGACCTAGGAATTCCATGCAAACGAACAATCTCCTTGAAAAACAAGTTGGCCACGTTAGTAGCATCATCAGTTTTATGACACGCAATGAAATGTGCCATCTTTGAAAATCTATCAACCACAACAAAGATACTATCTCTACCTGTCCTAGTCCTAGGCAATCCCAACACAAAATCCATGGATATATCCAGCCACGGAGAATCAGGAATAGGTAAAGGTAAATACATACCGTGCGGTAGAACCTTCGATTTTGCTTTCTTACATGTTACACAGCGTTCACAAATTCTTTCAACGTCTCTTCGCATCTTAGGCCAAAATAGATGCTCTTTTAAAATGTGCAACGTTTTAGCAACTCCAGAGTGCCCCATAAGTCCTCCTTCATGTGCTTCTCGAATAAGGACTTCTCGAATCGACCCTTGAGGAATGCAGATTCTTCCTTCTTTGAAAAGATAGCCATCATGTCGATAAAAATTCCCTTCTGCACCTTTCTCACATGACATATATCTTTCTCCAAAATCAGGGTCAGTGGCATACAACTCTTTAATATAAGCAAAACCAATCAGATGTGAATCCAAATAATTCAAAAGTACATACCTGCGGGATAAGGCGTCTGCTACAACATTGTCTTTACCTTTTTTATATCGAATGACATAAGGAAAAGACTCCAAGAATTCTACCCATTTAGCATGACTTTTGTTGAGCTTGTGTTGTCCCTTGATATGTTTCAACGCCTCATGATCAGTGTGTATTACGAATTCTCTTGGCAATAAGTAGTGCTGCCAAGTCTCTAATGTTCGAATGAGTGCATACATCTCTTTGTCATAGACTGGATAATTCAAGGTTGCACCATTTAGCTTTTCGCTAAAGTAAGCGATTGGTTTTCCTTCTTGACTCAAAACAGCACCAATCCCAATCCCGGAAGCGTCACATTCAACTTCAAATGTCTTCTCAAAGTTTGGCAAGGCTAATAGGGGAGCCTTTGTCAAATAATCCTTGAGTTCCTTGAATGCTTCATCTTGCTCTTTGCCCCAACAGAAGTTTGAATTCTTCTTAATAATCCCGGTTAAGGGGGCGGCAATTGTACTAAAGTTTGGTACAAACCTTCTGTAAAAACTGGCTAATCCATGAAAGCTTCGAACTTGACTTACGTTGACCGGTTCTGGCCATTCTTGAATTGCCTTAATCTTTTCTGGATCAACTGCTAGTCCCTGTGAACTAACAATAAAACCTAAGAAGGTAACTTGGTTAGTACAAAAAGCACACTTTTTGAAATTAGCATATAAATGCTCTCCTCTTAAAGTGCTTAGAATAATCCTTAAATGTTTAACATGCTCGTTCAAGGATTTACTGTAAATTAGGATATCATCAAAGTAAACAACACAAAACTTACCGATGTAAGGCCGAAGGACATGGTTCATTAAACGCATAAAAGTACTAGGAGCGTTAGTTAAGCCAAAAGGCATGACTAACCATTCATACAAACCTTGCTTTGTCTTAAATGCGGTTTTCCACTCATCTCCTTCCTTCATCCTAATCTGATGGTAGCCGCTTTTCAAATCAATTTTGGAGAAGATGTTGGCTCCACTAAGTTCATCAAGCATATCATCCAATCGAGGTATAGGATGCCTATATTTGATAGTGATCTGGTTTACAGCTCTGCAATCCACACACATTCTCCAAGTTCCATCTTTTTTTGGTACCAACAAAACTGGTACAGCACAAGGTCTTAAACTTTCTCGAATGTATCCTTTGTCCAACAGCTCTTTGACTTGTTTCTGTAACTCCTTTGTTTCATCGGGATTACTCCGGTAGGCCGGTCTATTTGGAATGGTAGCTCCAGGAATGAAATCAATTTGATGTTCAATCCCTCTAATTGGTGGTAATCCATCTGGAATTTCTTCAGGAAATACATCTTCAAAATCTTGCAAAAGAGATGTAATAGACATAGGTAAATCAGGGGGAATTTCAGCCAACAAACAATGATCTTTATACATTAAAATGAGTAAAGATTGTTGAGAGGAAAGACACTTCCTGATTTCTTTTCTGCTCGCATAAACGTTTATCTTCTTCTTTCCCTTTGCTTCTTCGCTGTTCTTCTTCAGACGAACTTGATCTTCTTGTACTTGACTTGGCATCAAAGGGGCTAAAGTGATTTGTTTTCCTGCATTCATAAACGAATATCTATTGGTGAATCCATCATGCATTACCTTCTTGTCAAACTGCCATGGACGTCCCAACAATAAGTGAGTGGCATCCATCGACACAACGTCACACGTTACTTCATCCTTGTATTTTCCAATGGAAAATGGTACAAGAACTTGTTTGGTAACCCTTAGCTCTCCCGCATCATTCAACCACTGTAGTTTGTATGGATTGGGATGCTTCGTTGTCTTCAGACCTAGCTTATCAACCATAACAGTACTTGCAACGTTAGTACAACTACCGCTATCGATAATTACAACACATACCTTGTCATTCACAAGACATCTTGTGTGAAAGATGTTCTCGCGTTGTTGTTCATCTCGGATTGGTTGTGCATTCAAGCTTCTTTTAACCACAAGTGCTTCTCCGGTTGCATAAGTCTGTACTTGATCGTCATCTTCATTATCGTCCATCAAAGGGGTGTCTTGCTCATCATTGTCAGATTCGGATTCTATTTCCCCATTCATACGTGTCATCATTGTCCTTCGGTTAGGACATTGACTTGCAATATGCCCTCTACCAAGGCATTTGAAACATTGGATGTCTCTTGTGCGTTCTGTTTGTATTTGTTGCTTTCCTCGTCCATTTTCAACAACGGGAGGTTTTGGACTACTCGTTTCCGCTCTTTCCTTAATCTTAAATGGTGTTTGCTTCCTAGCATTATTAGGAGTAACAGATGGATTAAAGGAAACTTTAGAAGGAGTATTACCTCGGTAAGAAGACTTTCTACGCTGTTGTCTTTCAATTTTGATGGCCATATGCACCATGTCATCCAACTCGACATAATGCTGTAACTCAACAACATTAGCAATCTCAAAATTCAACCCTGCAAGAAAACGTGCCATAGTTGCTTCTTTATCTTCCTCCATGTTTGCACGCATCATGGCCATTTCCATTTCCTTGAAATAATCTTCAACACTTCGATTTCCCTGTTTCAAGTTTTGTAACTTTTGAAATAAATCACGTTGATAATGAAATGGAACAAACCGTTTCCTCATGATTCGCTTCATTTCTGTCCATGTGTTCACTGGACCTTCACCGGTTCTTCGTCTACTGATCAACAATTGATCCCACCAAATGAGAGCGTAATCGATAAACTCCATTGCTGCCAAACGAACCTTCTTTTGTTCCGAGTAGTTATAACACTCGAAAACATGCTCAACTTTACTTTCCCATGCCAAATATGCATCAGGATCTGTTCGTCCCTGAAAAGATGGAATCACAACTTTTATATTAGACAAATTATCATCAAGTGTACGACCATGTCTCTGATTCGGTCTTAAAGGTTGGTCAATTTCGTTTTCATCATTAATCTCTTCATAATGATGCATTTGGGATTCTCCCTCAATCTTATCCATTCTAGAATGTAGAGTCTCAAGTTCAGCCCTTATCATTCTTTGTATCTCACGTGTAATGGCTTGCATTTGCAAATTTGGTGGTTGGTCACCTGGTTGGTTATCACTAGAACCTGTCATATTAATTCAAATAAAACAAAACAACACACAAAGAAAAAAAAATTAGTGTATATAGGACCTTACAATATACACACAAAGATTCTCACAATTTCGCTCCAAGGAAATCAAAGTTGACACTCAATCACTCAACACTCGTGTTTCACTCGGGAGAAACTTTTAATGGCTCTTTTCTGTCTCCCCTTCTGATCTCACACACTCAATGTGCCTTTTCCACTCGTTCCCTCGTAGTCAGTTCTTTTACGAACTAAATTCGATCTTTCAAAAATCTGTCAAGTGTGTCGGCTTAAAGGAAACAACAACGGTTGATGGAAACTGAAAAAAAATAATGAAAGGAAGGCTAAAATTCAAAGGAAATTAAAGAAAGAAAGAAAAATGAAAGTGATTAGTAAACTTACTACAAAGAAATGCTTACAACGGGACTGTCACCAATACAATCAAAGATGTTGCGTTTTGGATTGAATCAAAACTCAAAGCATTTCTCTTTAGCTCAAGACCAGAATTCTTTTTCTTTTTCTTTTCTTTTTTTTTTATTTTTTTAATTTTCGGAATTTTTTTTTTTAATTTTCAGGATGAATTTCTTACTTGGTTCGCCTTTGCTCTGATTACCATATGATACGAGTCAGTCCGTCGATTGAGGACCTCTTCGATTGTACCGGATCTAGAACGAAGTAAGCAATTCCTCGGCAGCAAACTCACTTGATAGTAAGGATGATGTTGGGGTTATATGGATATGAACGAAATTTGAATAAGGAATGATAATTGATAGATGAGGTAATGGAATTTAGGATGCTGGAAATTGGATAATAACAAAGAACAAGGAAGAACCTATACTAAAGAGTATAAACCCGAACCTTATACGTCCAATGTTCAAGGACTTGGACCCTTTAGATAGTAATCTAAGAACCCTAAGTATCACAAACTTAACACAACAAGAACAATCTTGAAATGTCAAGAAAATAGTTCTAAGAAGAACCAATTTGAGAGAATAACTCACAAAGTTTTAATTTATCAAAGTTCCTTCCAAAATGAAATTACAAGCTTATTTAATCTGTTTCAAATGCTTAGCCGAATAACACATAGTGTTTTTGGCCAGCTATTACGTCTAACAAATAATACATTCCAGTTCATAATTCTCCATGAATTCAAGTGATGATTCGGTGTAAAATGGAGACAACTCTTCATGGCCAGGTAATACTCACGTTCCTTCAAATTGATGCTTAAGTGGAAGCATCATCCAGCTTAGTGCCAAGCACATGGGCTGTTTTCAAAGTATATGTCTCCTTGGATGATCAGCACGTATGATCCTTCAAATAATTGCTTAGTTGGTTCACGCACATGGTTGGGTAGTGGAAAGGAGCATACGCACATGGACTGTTTTGATGGATAATATTCTGGTGCAAATAAATGCTGGAAACATGTGCAACATTATGGGTTCCCTCCAACATACGTGAGTGATAATAGTCAGCAAAGTATGGGTCTGATTTCAGCTGGTTTCTTTGTCTCCTCCAATCATGGACTTATTTATGTCTTTATAATGCTTATCCAGGCTGTTTTGACGTGCCTACATGTGCAAAGAAGATAATAAGCAAGTATTTAAATTAAATGTGCTGGAATGATTAATTTAGTTGTAAATCCCGTATTTATTTCCAGCCTGTACTGTCTTCGGTAATCTGTGAATATCTCAAGCTTCCAGTATCGGATTGACACGATTCAAAATGCATTGGAAAGCTAAGAGATAGGGGATTAAATGCTAAGAGACTTAATCTCCCAATTATGCTTGTAACATGTTCAAAACTGGTGATAAATATAAGTGACGTGAACTGTCCACTGGAATGAATCAAATATCTTGCTGCTGTGCATGTATGTGTTATTATGAGCTAACATGCATGATATAATAACTAAAAATAATTAAATATTAAAACTAAAATGAGTGCACATGAATGATAATAAAAAGAAACATGCTGAAAAGTGATTGTGGGTGCACGTGAAAGCAACTAAACTTGCTGTTATGTAATCAAATGATGAACATGTTATTATATGAATGTGGGTGCACGTGAAACATGCTAAACAAATGGTAAATATGTTGTTTATGCAAATCAAATGATGAAACACGTGAATTAACTAACCATGATGTTATGCATAACAAATGATGATCATGCTATTATGTGAATGTAAAAAAAAAATGCACATGAAATGATAAATGTATATGCTAACATGAAATGTAAATAAAATGCATATGTTTCCCTAGCATAACTAAGGTGGTGTTACACATCAGTATGTAACACATTAAGAATCTTCATTTCTAAGGCATGACAATTATGAATTGATTTATTAATTTGCAAACACTTAAGAGAAAGAACTTCCCTGAATTGTTTTGCCTTGGAACGTGTGATAGGTCCTATGGGTAAGACCTCCGGATCAGTTTCCTTTGTTGGCATAGACGTGCTCACATCACCCACCTTCCAGCAGCGGGGTCAAGAAATAAAGAAAAAGAATGAGGCGAGAAAGGCCAAACAGAGAGGAGAGGATATCTCGGGAGAATGCATGTCATTTCCTCCCCTGAAGAGCTCTTTCAAATTTGGAGGAGTGTACAACGCAGAACAACAGCTGACTAGCGCCATCGAAACCGAGATGATGGGCGAAGCTCTGAAAGGACTGTCAATCAATATGATTTCTGGGGGCAACCAACCCGGGAAGTTTCTAGCTGGAATTCGTCCGTGCTTTCCTGGTGAAAAGCTCGACAATTGGACAGCCGAGGACCTCCCCAAAGTTTTTAGGGTCAATCCAAAGTAATGCCCCAGAATAATTTGTATTAGCATCTAAAAAATATATGTTGGACTTTTTGTAAAACTTCACGCTTATCCCATCAATCAATAAAAGATATTTTCCTTAAATAACAATCATTTTCATTCTTCACGTTATTTCATAATGTTCTTCATATCATATTATTTATTCTTCAAATCTCCAAATTCTTCATTTTTTCATTACATCATATTCTTTATTTCTTTACTCTCCAATATATCCGAGTCAAATTTCATGTAGATGTCACAATAATACTAGCATAATTGTTCCTGAGGCCAGTTGCAAGACAAAGTTTGAGCGACCACCATGTTTGGAAGAAGTCAATGAATGTGAAGATGAAGAAGACTGTGAAGTCCCTAGTGATCTATTAAGATTGGTGGAAAGAGATGAGAAACAGATCCTACCCCACACGGAAGAAGTAGAACTTGTAAACTTGGGGACCGTGGAGGTACAGAGAGAAATAAAGATTGGCGCTACTCTATCCGCAGAAATAAAGCTAGAGTTGATAAGTTTGCTCTAGGAGTACAAAGATGTCTTTGCTTGGTCATATCAAGATATGCCAGGGCTAAGTACTGATATAGTAGTCCACACGTTGCCCATCAAGCCAGAATGCAAACCCGTCCAACAAAAACTCAGAAGGATGAAACCATAGATGCTATTAAAGATTAAAGAAGAAGTATCAAAAACAGATTGATGCAGGTTTTCTTCAAGAGGCAAAATATCCTAAGTGGGTAGCCAATATAGTACCTGTACCTAAGAAGGATGGGAAGGTCCGCATGTGTATAGATTATCGAGACATTAACAAGGCTAGCCCAAAGGACAATTTTCCCTTACCTCATATAGACACCCTGGTGGATAACACTACGGGGCATTCATGGTTTTCCTTCATGGATGGCTTCTCAGGGTACAATCAGATTAAAATGAACCTTGAAGACATGGAGAAGACGACGTTTATAACCATGTGGGGAACTTTCTGCTATAAAGTAATGCCATTCGGGTTGAAGAATACTGGGGCAACCTATTAAAGAACCATGGTGACTCTCTTCCACGACATGATGCACAAAGAGATAGAAGTATACGTGGATGACATGATTGCCAAGTCCATAATAGAAGAAGAGCATGTACAAAATTTGAGAAAGTTATTCCAACGATTAAGGAAGTACCAATTAAAGCTCAATCCAACAAAATGCACATTCGGAGTAAAATCTAGAAAATTATTGGGTTTTGTGGTAAGCCAGAAAGGAATCGAGATTGATCCGGATAAGGTTAAGGCAATTCATGACCTTCCCACACCACGCACACAGAAAGAAGTTCGAGGGCTTCTAGGAAGGTTAAATTATATATCGCGATTCATTTCTCAGCTTACTGATAAATGTGATCCGATATTTAAATTGCTCAAAAAGAATAATCCTGAGGTATGGAATGATGAATGCCAGGAGGCTTTGGAAGTCATCAAAAGGTACCTGTCCAATGCCCCCATATTGGTATCGCCAGTACCCCGCAGACCATTAATTCTCTACTTAGCAGTTTTCGAGAATTCAATGGGTTGTGTACTAGGGCAACATGATGAATCAGGAAGAAAAGAAAAAGCCATTTATTACTTTAGTAAGAAGTTTACTGATTGTGAGACTCGATACTCACCGATTCAAAAGTTGTGTGGTGCCTTAGTTTGGGCTACTCGAAGATTCGGACAGTACATGTTATACCATACTACATGGTTAATATCGAAAATGGATCCGTTGAAATTTTTGATGGAGTCCCCTGCTTTGACTGGCAGATTGGCTAGATGGCAGATATTGTTATATGAGTTTGATATTGTCTATGTGAGTCAAAAGGCAATAAAAGGGAGCGTTATAGCAGACTTTCTTACAAGTCGTGCCTCGGAGGATTATGAGTCTTTGAACTTCAATTTCCCATATGAAGATTTAATGTGTGTTTATACCGAGAAGGAGAGCTCCGAAGGCAACAAATCTTGGACTTTGAACTTTGATGGTGCTTCTAACGCTTTAGGAAATGGAATTGGGGCAGTGTTGATTTCCCCAGAGGAGATTTATTATCCTCTCACAAGAAGATTAGATTTTGTTTGCACCAATAACATGGCCGAATATGAAGCTTGCATTATGGGGTTAAAAGCAGCCATTGAAAGAAAGATCAAAACACTCAAAGTATACGGAGATTCCTCGCTAGTTGTGTACCAACTAAGGGGAGAATGGGAGATGAAAGACTTAAAGCTAGTCGAATACAGAAATTTAATCCTCGAATTACTAAAAGAATTTGAGGATGACACGTTCAGATATCTCCCCCAAGAGGACAATCAAATGGCAGATGCTTTAGCTACCTTAGCAGCAATGTTTAAAGCTAATAAAAGAACAGACATGATGCACATAACAATGCAAGTATACGAGACCCCAACCTACTGCTATCACTTAGAAGAAGAAATAGATGGTCATCCATGGTACCACGATATCCTACAATATATGAGATACCAGACTTATCCCCCCGGTGCATCTAAAATTGACAAGAAAACCATCAGAAGAATGGCAACCATGTACTTCCTTGATGGGGAAATCTTGTATAGAAGGGGCAGTGACCAAGTTTTACTGAGATGTGTAAATGCCAAAGAAGCAAAGAATGTGATGGAATAAGTACATGGAGGAACGTGTGAAACGCATATGAATGGATTGTCCATGGCCAGAAAAATTATGAGATATGGATACTATTGGGCCGCAATGCATACGGATTGTGTCAATTACGTGAGAAGATGCCATAAATGCCAGATATATGCGGATAAAATCCAAGCACCGCCTTCACCTTTGCACATTATGAGCTCACCCTGGCCGTTCTCTATGTGGGGTATGGACGTCATTGGGGCAATCACACCAAAAGCTTCAAATGGGCATCGATTCATTTTAGTAGCAATTGATTACTTCACAAAATGGGTAGAGGCTGCTTCCTATTCCAGTGTCACGAGATCTACAGTTTGTATATTCATAAAGAGGGAAATAATATGTCGATATGGATTGCCAGAAAGAATCATCACAGACAATGCTACTAATTTGAAAAACAAGATGATGGATGAACTTTGTTCGCAGTTCAAGATAAAGCATGCCAACTCTGTTAATTATCGGCCGAAAATGAATGGGGCGGTAGAAGCAGCAAACAAGAATATCAAAAGGATCATTACGAAGACTACAGAAACTTACAGAGATTGGCACGAAAAGTTACCTTTTGCCCTTTATGGGTATAGAACGACCGTGCGAACATCGACAGGGGCAACGCCTTTCTCTTTGGTATATGGAACAGAGGCACTCGTACCTATTGAGGTTGAAATTCCATCACTTCGAGTATTGAAAGAAGTGGAGTTGGATGAAGCAGAATGGATCCAGTCTCGCCTTGATCAACTGAATCTTATTGAAGAGAAAAGGTTGAATGCTATATGTCATGGACAAATGTATCAAAAGAGGATGATGAGAGCCCACAACAAGAAGGTACGCCCAAGAGAGTTCAAAGAGGGAGATCTAGTATTGAAAAAGATTTTGCCTATCCAGAAGGATTTCCGCGGAAAATGGATGCCTAATTGGGAGGGGCCCTATGTTGTCAAAAGGGCCTTCTCTGGGGGAGCGATAATTTTGGCGGAGATGGATGGAAGGGTACTGAAAAACCCTATAAATTCAGACTCTGTCAAGAAATATTACGCCTGAAAAGAAAAAAAAGAAAAAAGAAAAGGAGAGGTTCGAGGTGAAAACCCGTAAAGGGCACTTTGAAACCAAATGAGGATTTGAGTCGAAAACCCGAAAAGGGCGGCTCAAATACATTTTGATATGAAGGCATCTGACAAGTAAACCCCTTGAGATAGTAGTAGTTCATGAAGGACTTCACAGAGGACCACCTCAGGGTGTCAAATCAAATGGTACAAGAACAATGGTGCTAGAATTCATTAGGATATATGCTAATTTGTTTCTAGAGTTTTTTTTTTCTCCAAATGCCATGACTCTGTATAAAACTTCTCTTTTGTCAATAAATTTCATGAGTGTTATTTCAATCTTCAACTCATTTTTTATGTGTGCCACAAGTAACTGAGCATAACACAAATTCCAGAAATTTCTCGATATTACTTTTAATTAACTTGTAAAATAATGGGAATCCAAGGTCGTCTATTTGGGTCGATATTTGCACTAATTAAAGCAAAGGATTGATAAAAGGGCGAAACAAGAAATGACAGCAACCCGAAAAACACAGAGTCGACAAAGACATGGATTCGACAGGGATAAAATGGGAAAACAAAGGCTTACGAAACCCTAAAAACCCAAAGAACACATCATGTATACTCATGCATTCATTGAATAAGAGCATATGCATACATTTACATAAGGTTTTGAAAACATGACAGGAACTAAGAGAATCAACGAAAGATTCATTTCACAACTTACGCAGAGAATCAGTCCATATCTTTCATGGACCGCCGTCAATTCAAAAACCTTGAAGAGAAGATAAATATTTTCAGTAAAGAATTCGTAATGAAGAGATTGTTCAACTTTTTGCTCGATTCTATCACAGAAGGAGGTTGATCAGCATCGACTTTTGCTCGATTCTATCACAGAAGGAGGTAGATCAGCATCTACATCTCGTTCGATTCCATCACAGAAAGAGGTGGATCGATATTTTTATTTTCGCTCAAATCCATCGCAGAAGGAGTTGGATCAGCGTCAACTTTTAGCTCGATTCTATCACAGAAGGAGGTAGATCAGCATCGACATCTCGTTCGATTCCATCACAAAAAGAGGTGGATCTACATTTTTATTTCGGTCAAATCCATCGCAGAAGGAGTTGGATCAACGTCAACTTTTTTCTCGATTCTATCACAGAATGAGGTAGATCAGCATCGACATCTCGTTCGATTCCATCACAAAAGGAGGTGGATCGACATTTTTATCTTCGCTCAAATCCATCGCAGAAGGAGTTGGATCAGCGTCAACTTTTTGCTTGATTCTATCACAGAATGAGGTAGATCGGCATCGACATCTCGTTCGATTCCATCACAAAAGGAGATGGATCGACATTTTTATCTTCGCTCAAATCCATTGTAGAATGAGTTGGATCAGCGTCAACTTTTTGCTCGATTCTATCACAGAATGAGGTAGATCAGCATCGACATCTCGTTCGATTCCATCACAAAAGGAGGTGGATCGACATTTTTATCTTCGCTCAAATCCATCGCAGAAGGAGTTGGATCAGCGTCAACTTTTTGCTTGATTCTATCACAGAAGGAGGTAGATCTGCATCGACATCTCGTTTGATTCCATCACAAAAGGAGGTGGATCAACATTTTTATCTTCGGTCAAATCCATCGCAGAAGGAGTTGGATCAGAGTCAACTTTTTGCTCGATTCTATCACAGAAGGAGAAGGAGTTGGATCAGCGTCAACTTTTTGCTCGATTCTATCACAGGAGGAGTTGGATCGACAATTTAATTCATTACATAAGGCAGTGGATTAACATCCCCAACAAAAAAGTTCCTAATGAAAAGAACTTTTCACTCGAAGAACATTGCTTAAGCCGAAAAATGGTGCTTTATATCTTTGCTCTATTCCCGTTCCACATCAATGAGCAAAGAGGGGCAGCTGTAAACACCATTTTTTCAACACCAACACCTACCACCCCATTTTTTCAACACCAACACCCATCATCCCATTTTTTTCAACACCAACCCCATCACCCCTTGTTCCCTGCGAAAATCAAGGCATAATCAACTGAAAAATCATTGTAAAATTGGCTATAAAAGCCAAATGCATGTAATCAAAAAAGGAGGATTTTCTCTCTGATTTTTCCAGAGAAATACAAGCATTTAAGGGTAAATTTTTTATTTTTGTATTCAAATACTAATTTTTTTACTCTATGCTATTACGAGAAAATACTAAAATAATTTAGAATCAGAGAGAAAAGAAATAAAAATCAAATTATTCCAAGATATTTTGAATATTTTTTTTAGTTTTGAATCTAATATTTTTTTTGAAGCTTTGTATGTAAAATTAGAAGGAGAAAGAGTGAGTAGATTATTACCTTAGATCGGGATGGTTCGCAGTGGTGGCCATGGTGGTTCATGGCCAACGATCGTTTATTCCACGAAATAAAAATGAAATAGAAAAAGAGGAAGAAAGTTGAGAGAAATAATAAAGAGAAGAGGAGAGGAAATGAAAAACCATGCGTAGAAATGATTCTGGGGAGAGAAAAAAGTAAAGTTATTTTGGGTTTTGGGCTAATCACATGTCAAGTCATCCATTTTTAATATGTTTCATGTTTTAGTTTAAGTGTTAGGGTAAATAGCATACTAGGTAAATACCACCTCAGGGTGTCAAATCAAATGGTACAGGAACAATGGTGCTAGAATTCATTAGGATATATGCTAATTTGTTTCTAGAGTTTTTTTTTTCTCCAAATTCCATGACTCTGTATAAAACTTCTCTTTTGTCAATAAAATTCATGAGTGTTATTTTAATCTTCAACTCAATTTTTATGTGTGCCACAAGTAACTGAGCATAACACAAATTCCAGAAATTTCTCGGTATTACTTTTAATTGACTTGTAAAATAATGGGAATCCAAGGTCGTCTATTTGGGTTGATATTTGCACTAATTAAAGCAAAGGATTGATGAAAGGGCGAAACAAGAAATGACAGCAACCCGAAAAACACAGAGTCGACAAAGACATGGATTCGACAGGGATAAAATAGGAAAACAAAGGCTTACGAAACCCTAAAAACCCAAAGAACACATCATGTATACTCATGCATTCATTGAATAAGAGCATATGCATACTTTTACATAAGGTTTTGAAAACACGACAGGAACTAAGAGAATCAACAAAAGATTCATTTCACAACTTACGCAGAGAATCAGTCCATATCTTTCATGGACCGCCGTCAATTCAAAAACCTTGAAGAGAAGATAAATATTTTCAGTAAAGAATTCGTAATGAAGAGATTGTTCAACTTTTTCCTCGATTCTATCACAGAAGGAGGTAGATCAGCATCGACTTTTGCTCGATTCTATCACAGAAGGAGGTAGATCAGCATCGACATCTCGTTCGATTCCATCACAGAAAGAGGTGGATCGACATTTTTATTTTCGCTCAAATCCATCGCAGAAGGAGTTGGATCAGCGTCAACTTTTAGCTCGATTCTATCACAGAAGGAGGTAGATCAGCATCGACATCTCGTTCGATTCCATCACAAAAGGAGGTGGATCGAAATTTTTATTTCGGTCAAATCCATCGCAGAAGGAGTTGGATCAGCGTCAACTTTTTGCTCGATTCTATCACAGAATGAGGTAGATCAGCATCGACATCTCGTTCGATTCCATCACAAAAGGAGGTGGATCGACATTTTTATCTTTGCTCAAATCCATCGCAGAAGGAGTTGGATCAGCGTCAACTTTTTGCTTGATTCTATCACAGAATGAGGTAGACCGACATCGACATCTCGTTCGATTTCATCACAAAAGGAGGTGGATCGACATTTTTATCTTCGCTCAAATCCATCGCAGAAGAAGTTGGATCAGCGTCAACTTTTTGCTCAATTCTATCACAGAAGGAGGTAGATCAGCATCGACATCTCGTTCGATTCCATCACAAAAGGAGGTGGATCTACA